ATAGAAAATTTGACTTTCAAATACGACTCAAATGGAACATGAAGAGGTAAACAGGAAAGAGAAATCATAAGAAACTTATTAAGGTTGAACTGTTTACATTCCTGCATGGAAAGATGATATTCATAACTCATGAGACCTTTGTCAGTATTAGGGTAGTTGGAAGGAAAAAATTATATGTATGGATAGATAGATAGATAGGTAGATAGGTAGGTAGGTAGGTAGGTACGTAGAGGGCACAGGGTGAGTTGAAGATTAAGGGGTCATATCTGGAGAATAAAAGTAAGGGATGAGAGAGGATTATACTAAGAGAAAAAGAAAGGGAGAGATAGAACAGGGTAAATATATCACAAAAAAAAACAGAAAAGAAAAGTCTCTTATAGTAGAGGGGAAATGGGGGAAGATGAGAGGGAATGAGTAAATCTTATTCTCATAGGATTTGGCTTAAGGAGAGAATAACATACACATTAAATTGGGTATGGAAATCTGTGTCACTCTACAGGAAAATAGGGGGAGAAGGGGACAAAAGAGCAGATGGATGATAGAGAAAAGAAAAAAAGTTTATTACTACTGTGGAAATAATACTGCTTCTACTGTGCATCCTGTGTTACAAACATGTTTTATTATAAACAACTTATTGATAGGCACTGTTTTAGAATTAATTAGGTATATTCTCAAGTGTTTTATGCCAGTTGGAGTAAAACTAGTCTCTTAGAAGCAAATTCATTTGTTTAACTATTGAACTCAAGGGTGGAAAAGCTTCTACCTGCAAAATTGTCATTACTTATATTTACATATATAGAGTTGGATCCTCAATAGCATCTAATCCTCCTAAAAGGAACTGGAATCAGAGTGGAAACTTTTGAAGATAAGCCTGGTCCTTTCAAATATCACAACGTCAAAAATGTGAATTTATGGAAAATAATCTTTTCTTTTAAAAGTGCTAAGAGTATTGGGCCTTAGAAATTAAAATGTTACCATTAGTGATTATGAATCCAGATATGATTTGCTCATCCAATTAAGGTCACCTGATGGTAATTAATTGGTTCTGTTTCAAGATTTAAATACATGATAATTGCTTATGGTATGGTTATATTTTTGAATTTTCTTATATGGTGTAATCTGGTAAACAAATTGTATCAGCTATGTTGTTGAAAAGGCAATTCTTCTTATCATCTAGAAATGTTAGATTAAGCATTATAACCCTCCCCCTAAAAAACAGGGGAGAATGAATGGGTTAGTATGAACTAAGAAGAAATTTCACCTAACATTCTTATCTGTGCAAAAGTTCCCTGTGTTGTGGAATTTCTACTGAGTAAATGAGAATCCTTGAAGAAAAAATATAGGGGTGTGATTGTCAAGCCTGCTTCATCTAAGGACATATATTTATAAATGTTAATTTGGAGATTTATGGACTACCACACTCACCATCTATGCGAGATTCTAGAATTTAATTATTTTCTAGTGATATATTTAAAGACAAAGGAAAGAAAAAAATACTGAGTAAATTTTTAAAGCCTTGTTAATATTTGTTATTGTGACAAGATTAATTTAATTGGGTGTTTTCTTCATGGCTTATAAAAACTTAATTTCTTCTCCATTACAAACACCTTTTTGACTAAGGAACTTTGTGATATCTAGGAATTCTGTAATAAATAAGAATTTAGTTTGTTATAATACTTTGGGAATTTATTTATGGTACCTATAGAAATTTTATACCAACTTAGTTTTAATAATTCCAATTTTAAAGTTTTATTTTTATTTTAAATGTGGAAAAGAGAGATCTATCATTTTAAAGTTTCCAACTAATTTTCCTCCATAAAAGTTTAGTGATTATTCTTCTTAACATCATGATAAATTTTAAACTGTTTTTTAAAGAAGGGAAATACTTTTAGAAGAAATGTTTTGAAAAAAAATCTCTTGTTTTGATTTTTTGAAGGCCTACTAAATTTTCATTTTCAAGATAATTTATTGCTAAGTTACTGTAATGAGCTGTAAAGCAGAAGAGATCTTGCTGTTTTGATCTGAATTTGTAGTCATTCCAAGGCTTAAGCAAGAGTTGAATTAATGTTTGAATTTATCATACATACAAGATTCAGTTCCTGAAGTGTTTCATTCTTCTAGAGTGAGTATAATTAGAGAAGAATAAACACGCTTGTGAACAAGGACATAAATCCATCAACTTGTGAGGTTAAAGTTAGGAACCTCTTTGTTTTGTTTAAGGAATGGGATTTCAGTACAGAGAGTTATATTAGTGAAGAGTAGTAACTTATGAGCTCTTTTGTGTTATCTTGATGGGAAATCTAATATTATTTTTAATCTGGAATTAGAACATGTGCAGAGAGTTATGCAAATTGCTCAAGACTCACCTTAAGATGTTCCCATTGTTTAAAGGAATTATGAGAGCAGTAGTATTTTTCTGTGATCAGTCTCTTACTGTTACCGGTGTGAGATTAAATTCTTATTGTGTAGGATATGTGATCCTTGAGAGTTAAACTTACCTGAAACTTTGATTATTCGAACTCACTATTCAAGACTTTTTGGGACTGCAATTTACTATTGTTTTGAGCTTTGATTACAGGTATGGTTTTCTGGGTTCCCATGAATTCAACAGTAGAATGTCATTTGCTGCTGGCTAAGAACTGCTACAGGTGGATGTCTGTGCCTGGGAAGAGTTTCAAGGACAACCTTGGACACAGCATAGGTAGGATCTTCCTAACTCTGTTTCCCAATCCTGCTATTTCCTTTCTGAAAAGGAAAATTCCTCACTTGATTTATCCTGAGCCACGCTTTTATCATTAAGGGACTACATCACTGGCTATCAGATATGACTCATGCCTGGAATCAAACAGAGCTAAGGAAGTTTTTTCCTCCTGATATAATATATAACATTGTCACTCTTTAACTTTTATATCAAATTTCTATAATCAAGAAGTTCTGTAAGTACAATACTAAATATATTAAATAATAGATGGATATTGGAATATCTCTGAGTTACGATAATAGGATGCAAGTATGAATACCTTACAATTTTAACTAACGTTCATGGCCAAATAATAATAATATACGGACAATATTCTCCTAAGGAGGAAATGATTAGACAAAGTAATAAGACAAATATGTAATATGATAGATGTCTAATTAAATAGAATAGCAATTTTGAGAAAATCAACAGGATTAGACTGATTCCTCTAAGAATTATATACAGATGTATATGATTGGCTTCCAAAATTTATCTATCATGGGAATTCAAGCATGTTTTTGTAATAACATCTCAAATTTAGATTTTTTACACAAAAGTTGTATAAAACAGTGGAAAAGTAAGTGAAATTATTTCTCCTTTATTAAAGTATCTCTCTGATCATTTTAAAAGTCAGAAGAGCTCGTTTTATGGTCAGACCTTCACGTTTTAAAAGATTCTTATGCCAGGTACAGGATTTAGGTAAGAACAGGAGCAGCAAATGATATATAAATTGAAGTTTCAAAAATGGAGAACCAAATTTTAGTGATTGTACTAATTTATAATAAGTAAGAATTATCTGGGAACTTCTAGGTCTGAACCAGAGAAGCAGAACTCCCTTTTAGAACTGTCCTAAGAAAAAAAGTGCCCAAGAAAGAATAACTAAGGACCAAATACTTACATGAAACATCTGGGATTCAAAAGGTGCTGTTTAAATACACATTGGGAATAGGTTACTGGGATGCAAGGAACTCAATGTTAGTTAACGTTGGCAATAATGATTGCATTGATTTGTATGGTTCATGTTTAAGGTTTTCTTGGTTATTTTGGTGATATGTAAATCTCTCTTCTCAAAACTAGTCTATTGTGAGCTAAGTAGTTTAATCTGTACCAGACTTAATGTAATTATGCAATTTTGTGAATTATGAGAAAAACTTTGTTGTATTGTTTGAACCCAGCCCTGCATGACTGGGAAGCTGAACCATCTCTATGTGCCTTTTAACTAAGGACCTATATTATGCTGTTTTCGTTCAACTGTCAACTCATATGTCTTCTAAGAGCCTCTATCAGGTCTGTCTGACTACTCCCATAGCTGCCAACTTCTGGATGTGGGCTTGGTAATGATCTGAAGATGCCTGCTCCAAGTGGACATCTCTTCCCACCCCCTGAGGAAAAGGAAGGTTTTTCCCATACCTTCCTTGGTCTACAGAGGGCGCCTTCAGCTTAACTTTGACCGAAAGAAAAAAATGATAATCGTTAGAGATCATTTGAGCCCCAATAAGGGCAAAAGCCTGAACTAATCAACCAGAAAAAGCACCCCAACATAATAGACATTCTTTTTTTTGTTCTCTGAGTGAACTCAAAATGCCCCTTCCTGTGTCAGCAACTACAGGAGGAGATGAAGCTGACCAGCATTCTTCTGTGCATGACCACTAAGGCACCTTAACCTGGACACTACCTTGAATTATGGGACTTTTCTTATCTTAGTATGTTATGAACATATACTATGCTATGTCATGTTAATGGTAAAAGAAACACAGATATCCTGGATCTATAATTTCAATTGACACTTTCTTACTTGTCTTGTTTTATTGTATTTACAATCTATTCAATTAAGAAAATTCCTTTCTCATGCCATGGCTAAACAGATAGAGTAACATAGACATTCTGAGTCAGGGTTTAAATATCCTCCTAAAATTGCTTGATTCAGTCAGAGTTAAAGCTCTGGCTCCATGTACATTTTGCTAACTTAAGGGAATAAACAATATGAATTTACTTATCACCTAGCTTGTTGCCTCTTTAACCAACTTTCAGGTCGACAATGGGAATAAGGAAAGACCCTGTTTACACGTTACTGAGTCTCCAGTCAATCTGCCCAGTCTCCAGGCATTGGTTTAATTCTATTAATGCTATTCAACTACAAAATGAGCTGGAGGAGGAAACAGAAAACCACTCCAGTACCTTTGCCAAGAAAACCCCAAATGGGCTCAGGAAGAGTCTGACACAACTGAAAAACAACTGAACAACAACCTTCTTGACTCACCTGCTTTGGTCTCTGGCAGGGCCACAGCCACCAGCAAAAAGAAGAGCACAAAAGTTTCCATGTTAGAGAAGTAGAGGCTCCATGTTAGAGAAGTAGCAGGTAAGTGAGCAGGAAATAGCAAGCAGTCTCTAACAAGCTGCAGGCCTGCCCCCAAATGGCAACCGGGGGCACCCAAACTTTTCATCCTGGACAGACGGAACATACAGCCAGGTAAAAGCAAAACTGAAATGAAGTTCTACTCATCCTATCTACTTTTTTTATTAGCTTCTGTGGAGCCCCTGAGCTTTCTATTTCTTCTAGGGACAGTGCCCTCCCCCCTTTGAACTAGAGTTCAAGGAGTATCCTAGAATCTAGCTCTGACCTTTCCACCTCCAGACTGCCTCATACTGACACTTCCCCACACATCTAGAAAGTATTCCCTCAGAGAAGTTAATCTCTTCATGAGTATAGTTTGCCTTTGGAGTCAGAGTGAAAGTTTCAAGAGGGACAACTTTAGCTGTTAAGCAGGGAGAAAAGTGGAGAGAAGAGACTAAAGGAAAGAGGGGTATGATATGGATATAGAAACCAGGGGCATGTTGACATACAAGCTGTGAGAAAGTATGTCAGAAAACCTGTGGACAGAAGAGGGGCCAGATATGATCAAATTGCCGCTACCACCACTGAACTACTTATTATAAAAAGTTATTATAAAAAACCTGATATTTTAATGAAGTTGGGATGCTTCTCTGAGCTGGAAAAGGGGAAAAAACACTTTAGTTCAGCAAACAAATTAGACACCTAACAAGTTAGGATGTTTAAATAGCTAACTTCTGAGGAAGAACCAGATAGTTAAGACTTAGGGAATGGCTAAGGAATGACACCCCCTATATGAGGAAAGAGGGGTGGAGCAGGTGGAGAGGAGGGAATTTGAAATAGTGGATAGAGAGTTGTCATTGAAGCCAGAAAGATTTGGACTGAAGTGCCATATTTTGAGGCAGCTGAGCTATGTTATTCTTAGGACAGAGATATTAACCCCAGTTTAAGCCTAGCAGTGACTATGTATTGTCTGCCCAGGTCCCACCAGGCCACAGGAGCATCTGAGGCAAAGAATGACCAAGCTCCCCCCTCCATCCCTCCAGCCACATTCACTCCTTTCCCTCCCTCCTTCCTGCCCCCTTTCCTTCACCTCTCCCCAGTTTTCTCCTGCATCCTCTCAATTCCCTTGTCACTCCTCCCAGTTTCAGACTCTACCCAAACACCCCTTTTGGAGACATTCTCCTTCCCGTGGATCTCCTGCTCCATCCAATAATAATTACATTTATATTATGCAAGTCATTTAACTTCTCAGTGCTCTCTTGTCCATCCTCTAAGGGTCTAGAAGTTGTGAAGGTGTTGACTTGAACTAGTAGAAGGAGTTTCCTTCCCCAGGAGTTCCCTATAGCAACTAAATCACAAGTATAGTCCTTATCTCTGTCCCCTACCCCATATCAGCTTTGAAGAAGAGCAATTGGACCAATAAGAAACATTGCATACAGTGGGAAGCAGAGACACACACTCCAGACAGAAATGGTCAGAGAGAGACACTCACCCAAGGAAGAAAGCAGCTTCAAGGAACATGACCCAGGCAATTAAGAGTTGGGCTATGGAAAGAAGTATGAACACTCTATGAAAAAAGTAAGGCTTTCCAATAGGCTCTATAGTACTGGGAGTTGTGATTTGCTCTTGCCGTAAGTGTATAATACACTTGTACCCTACTACTACTCAAGCATGTCCACCAAGCCATGACTTTGAGATGTGGGAAGGTATTTTAGGAAGGGAGGTGGTGACTGTTCTCACAAATTCTCTTGACAACAAGAATAAGAAGAGTTGTAGCACATGATGAGTGTGCCTACAAGACACACACATCAGAGGAGCAGAATCTGGAGAAGGCAGATTTGTGTTACACTGTTATTTTGCCAGTACTTTTGGCAGAATGCTACTCCCCATACCTAGAATACTTTCTCTCCTTATCTCTAACTCCTGGCATCCCTCAAGACTCAGTTCAAATCCCACCTTCCGAAAGAAACTTCGCTCCTCACCACCCCCAAAGTACCTTTCCTCAGAGCTTACCTCCAATTTACATTGTATATATTGTGTGCATACACAGACACACACACACACACACACACACACGTGTTTGTATGTTGTATCATGCCATTGAGGTAGCTAGGTGCCTCAGTGGATAGACCACTGGGCCTAGAGTCAGAAAGACCTGAGTTCAAATATGACACTAGCTGTGTGACTCTGGGCAAGTCACTTAACCTTGTTTGCCTCAGTTTTTTCATCGGAAAAAGGTGTTGGAGAAGGATATGGCAAACTGCTTCAGCATCTTTGCCAAGAAAGCCCTAAATGGAGTCATGAAGAGTCTGACATGACTGAACAATAAATACTTTTAACTGACTTGCTATACTTTCTGAGACTTTGTCCACTACTGCTCCTGGAAAAGGATCAAAATATTACTTTAATCAGGAGCTCTTAGAGATGCAAAAGTAATAGGAATACTTCTGGTCCCTAGTGGGCTAGCAGGGACATAGGCCTGAGGAGGGAGCACAGGTAAACAGAACAGGACCAGGGCCAGATATGTGGTCACAATCAAGGCAAGCTTGATCCACCATCTAGTAGATCCCCAATAAAGGACTGATGTGTGCCAGTTGTGAAGGCAGTCACTGGACATGAGGGCAAAAAGCATTAGGGTATAGTTCAAACTGGAACTAGAAGAGAGCATGGGTTAGGAACTAGTTCCTAGAAATTCCAAACCAAAGAAAGTAAGATAAGAGCATGAAGCTCAGAGTCAACGAAAAAAAGAAGGCCAAGGAGGGCTATGTGTCAATCAGGAAGCATTCCGGAGAAAAAAGAAGTGATTTTTTCTGGGTTGAGTTGGACTAAACAGCTATTCAGGTGACCTCTAACTTTGATACAGTGATTAATTCTTTGAATAAGGTAGCAATTGAGTATTAGTAATAGGTGAGAAATCTCTAGAAATAAAGAGACTAAGCAATTGGGGTGGGGAGGGGATAGGCAGCTAAATGTCTAAGTGGATAACGTGGCAGGCCTGGAGTCAGGAACACTCATCTTACTGAGTTCAGATCCGGTCATGGGGAGTTGGACACGAGTAAAAAATGACTAAACAACAACAACAACAACAACTCGTACTAAGCAAGAGGAATTTGTATGCTTTTGTGGTTGTTCACTTATGGCACCATATCTATTGCGCCACCTAGCTGCCGGATGTATGCTGGAGGTCCTAGAATACTTTCTCCCGCTCCTTCCCTGTCCCATTTGAAGGACTGGGAAGAGAAAACGGCATTTTCACTTGTAGGCATGCATATTGATGCTTAGGGCTGATAACTCAGAATCATACTTTTAAGTGTTGACTCCAGCTTCTATCTGAATAGTAATCCTTTCTACATCTTGTCTCTGCTTGAGGACCAGCCCTTGGTGGGGAAGCTATTACTCCCAGAGGCATCCCATTGCACTTCTAGATAGACCTAATCCTTAGGAAGGTTTCCTTACATGGAGGTGAAATCAGCATCTCTGCGATGTTCATTCAGTTCCTAGCTGTGCCTCTTGGACTCATCTAATTCAGTTTCCAAACAATCCTTCAAATACTTGAAGACAACCCTCTTATCCTGTCAGGATATTCTCTTCTCCTAGGTAAACATCCCCAATTCCTTCAACCAATCCTCTATAACAAGTTCTCTAGTCTCCTCACCATTTTGGTCCATGTCTTCTGGATTCATTCTAGCTTGTCCATGCTTTTTCTAGAATGTGGTGCCCCAGATGAAAATGCTCCAGATGTGACCTGACCAAGGCAAGGTCTTGCGGACTTACTGCTTATAAAAGTTTAGGGGGAAAAGTGAACATGGACAATTCTGAGAGAGGAGAGTGTTAGTATCTGAGAAAGTGAAGGGCTGAGAAGACTTCATCCTAATCTTTCACAGGAGAGATGTCCCTGAAAGAATGGAAAAATCTAAGGACTTGTCTACATTTCCCCTAGAAAGCTGTTGTTTTCACAACCAGAGAGTTGTGCTATGGAGAGTCTAAGGATTTTCCTGGATAGAAAATTTTTCCAGGTGTTCGACTCAATCTAGAAAAGCCAATAAAAATAAGCCATATATAAAGATGTGTCATTTTACTACTCTACATATTCAAAATCAATAATCCCAAGCCTGGAAAGGGAAAATATGATAAACACAACCAAGTGCTACTCATTACCAAGTTACAAATTTGGTTTTAATTATGACAGAGGTTAAGTCGCTTTGAATAGTGCCTACCACATTACATGAAAACAGCCACTTAAAGTTTCTTGAAACGAGATAAAACTTGGAGTTTTTGGTTTCAATTGAGTTTTATTTCATCTACATAGCACAGAATAGTCCAGGAAAAAAATGTGAAAGGTGAATTTTTTTATCAAATAGTTATGAAAATGACAAGGCAGTTTTGAGTAAGAAAGCAGTTGGTACAGGTTGTGGTAGCACATCCCTGTAACCCCTGCTACTGGGGGAAGCTGAAACTGGAGGATCACTTGAGTTTAGTAGTTCTGAATTGTAGTAGGATATAAGCTGGTTAGATATCCACATTAAGACTGGCACCAATATGCTGAGCTCCATCCAGAGAAAGAGGGCCACCAAGTTTCCCTTAGATGAACTAGCCCAGGTTGGAAACTGAGGAGGTGAAAGCTTCCATGCCAATCAGTAGTCCTTGCACTTCCAACCTGGGTGAGATATGAACATCTGGCCTAAAAAAATTTTTTTAAAATCAAATGACAATGTTGGAAAAGGACTCTGAACTGATAGGACCTGCTTTTTACTTGAAAACAATCTACTATTGCTGAACAACTGAAAATCATTCTGCCCCAGGTCAATATCATTGTGGAAAAAAATACAAACCCTGGCTTCTGGTTTTGGGCCTGCCATTAATTAACTGAGTGACCTTGGGCAAGTCACTTAAATTCACTGGATCTCAGTTTTCTTATCTGTAGAATAAGGGTTTTGAATTAGATATCTTCTAAGATGCCTTCCAACTCTAAATTTTTAATGATTCTAGGTTTAGGAGCTGGTGGAATCACTCCAGGCTTTTAAACTGCTCCTGCCTTTGCCTGTAAGAGGTGAGTGGTATTCAGCTAAATAAATCTTCCCTTGGCAACACTGTCTCATCAAATACCAGGGCAATCCTCATTTGGTTCAAAGTCATAATTT